GCTGTTTCACCAGCTTCACCAAATGGCTACGGAAGGTCATTTCTGATCTCGACTTCTGAAGTGTATGGATAAAAAGAGTACTTACGCGTTGTCCAGAACTATAACTTACAACACATCGACTCTGATGCAGGTTTAGCTTCAACAAACAAGTGCAAAAGGGTGAAGCTTGTGGCAGTAAAGCCAAAACCTGCAAATACTTGCAGGAGGTGTTCCCGTAACAGCCATTTCCCAAGCAGTCGATCACCGCAGCCGCGCTCGGTGGGATCGCCTGCCTGCTCCGCACCCACGTAACCGCTCTGAAGCCCCCCACACTGTGGAGGTGGAAGCAGAAAGCCAGGACTAAGAGTCGTAAGACCGTGTGTTTTCAGTCCTGAAATAGGTAAATGCAATCTTTTTTAGTTCAGATCCAAACGTAAGCGTGCCCAGGCCACCTCTCCTGCCGTTTACCACAGGGCCTGCAGCAATGGCAGGTCCCGGTGGCTAAAGCTTTCTTCCTGAAATCCAAGTTTCACAAATTTTTCATTGTGTCTCTATCAATAAATTTCAAAAGTTAGACAGGGGTTCATAATGCCGAAGTGATTCATAACCCCAAAATCCCCTTTTCTTTCTCCCCACCTCAGGATGGAGACGGCAGCCTGGCTGAAATGCAGCGATGCACGCCAGAGGAGGTATTTTTCTGATAAAAGTGCTTTGATGTGCACAGGAGGACTTTGTGTCCAAAGCCAAGCACAGCTCTAGTTCGGGACTAACTGGGGTCTCAGTCCTTCCTGAAGCAGAATGTATCGACCAAGCTCACCCAAGGAGCTGTTCCAGCGGGAAGAAGCAAACCAGCACGGAGCTCAATGACGCCTCTGTGAACAGGCAGGCCGGGGCAACAGGGGAAAGAAACTACTCTCCGCTTTCTGTCTCAGGCATCTTTACAATTTCATCCCTTGTAGGGCAACTTGGGACAGATGAGTCAACCTTTGGTTTAACAACTACAATTAGCAAAACACACTGAAAAAAGGAAAATCAGTGCAATACTGCTCCACAAGTCTGTAAAGGGATCTAGCCAATACTCCTAGGTGGTCACCCAAATCTTCAAATATTTTTTATTCATCTGTGAAACTAATAATTTCTGTTATTTTACATTACATTTCCTGGTAGTTTTCAGCAGCAGAAGTACAACTGAGAACTAGCCCTGTGTAATACACACAGAGAAGAGAAAAATCCATTTCAAGATCTCCTCAAAGCGCTACTACAGGAGAAAATCCCACCTACAGTTCAGTTAGTCAGAAAAATGGAAATAAAACATACAGATGAAATATCAGCGCATTGACTTGCTCAGCTACTTAACCAAGTTTGTTCCTAGAAATATATTTCAAGGTTGCTATTGCCAACACAACTGTAAATATTTAAAAAGAAACACGTTAGACTAAAGCACCAATTTTTCCACGCCAAGGACAGATTTTTCTTTATAACACTGTGTATCAGTGTTAGTTTACCCTTTAAATTCTTCGTAAATGACATGATATATGCTTCAATTAGAAGAACCAGATAAATATCTAAATAAGTCTAAATAAGGGGGTTTTTTTGTTTGGCATGAGTATTGTTTTTTAAGAATACACATCCAATTCAACTAAAATTAAAATAATTCACATTGCTATATTATTCTTCTGCTTACAGATAATTTTCACCTTGAACTGCAGTAGTAATTCAGACAACCGTAGTCTGAAGTTCTTACGTACAAACACTTATGTACAAACACTGCAAAGTTGCTTTTTTCCCCAAAACTATGGTCTTCTGCACAGGGAGCCAAATGTAATCCAGACTTCCTGGTCTGAGTTGTATGTCTAATCTCAAACAATACTAATGTAACACTGACTCCGCCATCCAAATGCGTGGGTTCACATCATAAAACTCCTTCATAAAAGGTCCTCTCTGCCATGTTTTTGCATGATGCTCCAGTGAAGTTATAAAGCCAAATTATCTGATGTAATTAACTCTGCTCAGAAAGGGAGAATTTGTCTGTTCAGTGACCATATTGCTTGGGATATTTTTACAATACATTCCTCCACTCTGTGCTCAATTCACCCCTAAGCTTCTTACACAGATACTAAACCGAACATGTGATTCAGTTGTGCATCTTTACTCTTTTAAAACATCTGATAAAGACAAGCAATAGGTCAATTTGTCCCTGGGGAATCGCACCATCTGATCCTTACAAACCTTGTAATTCCTTCGATTAATCCCGTTCCTAGAAGCAGGAGTAATATTGGTGAATTATCTGGTTCCAGATAAATTTCTTTAACCCCAGGAGACATAGTTTCTCTTAGTTGTGGGCTTCAGTTACGTAAGACAGATGGACAGCAAAACCTCTGCCGCCCAAGGATTTTTTCCTAGACGTATTATCTTTACCATCAGAAAAATTTCCCTTGGAATTTGTTACTGTGACGATGCATTGCTCTGGAGATCCGATGATGGCGGAGTGGATTTACATTTTCTACCCGTTACCGAAGTCTTTGTACACATGAGAAAGCAATCACGTAGGTGTATGGGATTACTGTTTTTCCAAACACACGGGGAATGTTCAACTCCTTGTGAATGTATTGGAAATACATTTGAAAATATCATTTTGCCGTGTAACTGCCAACACATAACTAAATTAATTCAGCAGTCACTGACGGCCTAGACCAGCCTCGTGTGGATGTTTCGCCAGTCACTAGTAGACGAATAAATACATATTTTAGAAGACGAGGGGAAGATTTTTATTGGACAGCGGAACTGCTGAGAGACATACAGCTAAAAATAACAGTGAGACCACAGTTTCTTCACACAGAACTCGGCCTCCTTCGGGCCTCTGCTTGCGAGGCATTTGCTCCCACAGCCAGGCAGGCTCTTTGTCTCATGATGCAGCCATTAGGAGGAAGAAAGCGCCTGGCAGCACGGGTGGTGTAGCAGCAGCTCTGACATGCCACGGTTTCCAGGCAGAGGAAGTTCCCCTGTCGGTTTCAGGACCGGCTTGAGGGTGTTTCGGTAGCCCCCTCCGTCCCCCTCGCTCAGGAGATGGCTCTGCTGCGTGCCCCCCCCCCTGCGGGCGCTGCTGACAGCAGCCAGTCTTTCAACTCCCTTCCTCAGACCCCAGGCGGTGTGGCAGGTGTCAGCTCACCCCTCCCCAGCACGGGAAGGGGCAACGGGGCTCCGACCCCCATCCCAGGCCCGAAGATGGCAGCAGGCCTTTCGCCCAGGGCGCACAGCTCGGCGGGCCCAGGCCTGTTCTGCGGCAGGCTGCGGCGTCCCCAGGGGCTCGTCCCC